ATCAGTACAGCCCTCTAACCACTATATAAATACGTCAGGTAGCAAAGTGTTTGAAAAGAAAAGACACCAGAGATAATAGGAGAAGAATGAATAACTAATTAGAAACATGAAATTTTCCTTTTTGCTTCGTTTGAAAACTGGTTCACCTTGAGTTGCTGCCATACTGGAATTATTTGAAAGAGAAATCAGCAAAATAAAGCAGCACAATAAGAGCAGCGAAAATCGTTGCACTGGTTTCTGAAAGATCTACTTTTTTGCCTTGCAAATTATTGTTCGGAGTTCAAATTTTGCCTTATTTTTAAAATATATTACCACGATATTATCACGATTTTTAAAATATATTGTCACGATTTTTACTGAATGATTTCTAGGCTCGGTATGTTGATATGGACGCTTCGAGTCATCCGCCGACCAAAAAATCAAAAGGTTACAGTACAGTGGGCAAAACGGCAGCGATGATCCTGAACGAGCTGTATCCGGATTTCAAGACAAATGTCAACTACAGAACGGTGAATATTTGTTGCCCCAAAGGACAAGCAGAAAAATTTTGCTTTTCGTATAGCAGATCTCTCATACGGACCACCAGGAAAAAATATGCAAATTTCTTTGGCGCGAAACGATTTCGCGAACCAGGCAAGATAGAAAGCTGAAACTTTGCAAGGATATTCGCTGTGTGCGTGTGAGCTAAAGATTCCAAATTTAGTCGCCGCGCACGTCTACACCACATGTCAGAGTTCGCAGTTGGCACTGTGGTAACTCGAAAACTAGCCGGAAAACAGTAACTGAAATTTTGTCAGTATATTTATTGTCCATCAGGGCTATCGTATAACACTAAATGAAGCTCCGATTTGCATTTGCGCCACGACCTAGACCAAAACTTCAAATGCATTTATAGCGAAGTGGCCATTTCGCCTACCAGACAGACTGCGAAGCTGAAACTGCAAGGGTATTCTCAACTCATGTGTGGTCTTAATTCAGCTTGGAGGTGAGATTGTAATAAAACTGATAAATACTCAGTTTTATCACAAACTCAAAAGCGGGTGCATTTTGCAAATTTCATAATCCTCTTCTTACTTCCTTCAAATTTGTCACTTTTTCAAAGAGCGAACATTCACTAGAAAAACGACCGGTCATGCAAAAAAAAAACTGATAATAACGCTTTTTTTTAGTTCATGATGAATAAAGTGCCGCATTTCGAATGTAGTTTCACGGTGCAAGGTCAGGTATTCTCGGCAGACGGTCCAAATAAGAAAACGGCCAAGCAGGTCCTTTGTTTTTTCACTTTTTTTCTCTAAATCTCATTCCTTGTCTTTGATATTTTCATTCTCAAAACAGCAATTATGCACCAGTGCATTCTGATCAGCATTAGCTTTTCAGCATGCATGCGAACAGGCTCTGAGAGAGTTACGACCGGATATTGAGCTGGATATGAATGTGCTGCCGTCATCCGAAGCCAAGAAACTCGCAACTTATGGATTTTATGCCCCACTGACGAACGCATCTGAGGTAAGCCAATTGTAGCATCCAGGTTGACCTTGGAAGAGTCTAAATGGCGAAGGCGCCTAAAAGCCAACACCTCCCCCCTCCCTCCCTCCTCTCCCCGCCCCGACTTCCCCCATCCCTGGCTCTGAACTTTTTTCCCCTTACCTTAAAGTAATATTTTTTTAAGGAATCGTTTGAGAAAGCTTTAGTGATTAGCTTGCTGGCGTCAGCAGTAAATTGTTGGTTTCTTCGACAAATTTGAAGTGAGGATGTTTTATATTTACTGATTTTGCAGGGAGCACGGCGAAAAGGATATGCAACATGCAACTCTCTCCATGATTACTTCCTTCGTCTGTGCAGGGTACGTACCTGTTGATGGCTTTTTTGAATTAAGGAGAAAATTGAATTGGCGATTTGGGAGAGCTTTTTCTGGATTTTTCAGGAGCGAGAGTACTATAAGAGACAGAAAATCGACCCTCAGTTTGAGTTCACTGAATTGCCACTGAACGAATCGGACACCAAACATCAAAAAAGATTCAGGCAAGCGACCTAAAAACAACCCCATCTTTTAAGGAACGAAAATCGCTAGGATTTTGAGCCGCAAGTTTTCGGTATGATATTGAAATGCGCACATAATTAGGGCCGTGGATTTTGTTGTAATTTTAATTTTAGATGATGTGTGTTTATGTAAAAAGTGAGGGTTTGAAAGTAAGGGAATTAAAAGGGAATGTGAATAAGTTAAATCTGAATAAAAACCTGAATAGGAATGTTGTAGTTTGCCTGTAATTTCAATTTACTTCCAGATGCACATTGGTTCTGCCATATCTTGGGAAAATTTTCACGCATGAAGGCTATGGGAAATCGCCAAGTAAGAATGCAGTGATCCGAGAGGTACATTTTTTCTTTTTCATTTTTATAGCAAACCTTTTTTCCACTCCAGATACGAGTTTTTTTCATTTTTACAATGGGGGTTTAGCGCGCCGAATATAGATGATGGGAACTGATGTCTCTCAGCTGAAATGAACGAGTCGCTTTTGAAAAAAAATTCGAAGAAAATTGGAAAAAAAAGGACTTGTAGAACTGAATTGGAGTAATTTTACGTACTATTTTTGGAAAAGAAGATTGAAGTGACAAATAAAATTGCAAAATCACGGATGCTAGTGTAGGTGTTGGAAAGAGTAGCATTACTGCTGGCAGAGTGCAGTGACATAATAAATGAAGTAAAATGAGGTTTGGAAGGAGGTATGTGACAAGCACGTGTCATGTGTTGAGAGGTGTAGCATAGTTGAGCGAGCGCCCTAAGAAAAAAGAGAGGAATAGAATAGTTGTATATGTGCATTTAATTTTTTTTCTCAAAAGAGCCAGATTTTGCATTCTCATTTAAGCTAACCGCTATTTGCATTGGGTGACGTCTGTGTTTCATCCCTTGAACTGTAAACATAGATGACTAAATGAAACAGATTTCTTAGCCACAAAACAACTCAAGCCTTTGCTTAACCTGTTTAACCTGTTTCGTGGCTAAAAAATTTGCTTCAACAAGCCAAAACTTATTTTTGTTGCACATTTCTTGTTTCAGTATGCTCCAGGAGGAACCATCTTATGTATTACGGGCCTCACGCAGGGCTTTGTTTTTGATCATACAGTGCTGTTTGAGTTGGTTAATGTTTAATTTAGGCTTTGGTTAAAGTTTTCAACGTGCCGGCGCATCAGCTACGAATGGTAGAACGTCGTGCCATGAATCTTAAGCCAGGCAAACCAATGCAGGTATGATTTTGTGCCCCGGTGCAGCGATCAGCAAATTTTGCCCTGTACAGTTATAATATTATTATCCCACAACTGCACAAAAAAGCGAATCGACGGTCTTCCAGAGAAAAAAGAGCCCGTTGTGTTTGAAAAATTTTTTTTATCGGAAAAAAAGGAGTGAATTTTAAAAAATTGTGCTTGATCGCACATTTCTGGGGGTTGTTTCGTTGCTATTAGTGCTGATGCAGTTGTGAAATATAACTTATTTTTAATATTTGACGAGAATACCCACAATTTGGCTTTGTAATGGACGGGCAGAAGATAAATGGGATTTTGAAGGATAATCCAAAGGATAGCTTAGAAAAAAAATAGCCAAGTGGAAGATAAGCCTTTTTTTGGAAAAAAGCGGAAAATTAACCAATTTTCGCAGGATTCTTTGAGCCTTTCGGACAGCTCGAGGCATTTTGCGGGAATTGACTGGATTTACGTGGAAATTTACATGGAAACGTGAGAAAAACGTGGCCAGCACAGAGATAAGGATTTGATTGGACCAATAGATTGGCTAAATCAGAAAAAAAGAAAGTTGTTACAAGGAAAGAAGCCAAAGTATTCGCTTTTTTTGAAAATGTTGTGAGGTGGTAATATGTTGCTTGAGGTTTTGATCCAAGCGCTCAGTTTCTACGATCGCACAATGCAAGTGGATGTGGACACGGTTGACGGGAAGCCTGTCCAGGGCAATAGTCGATTCATCTGCCGAATTACGCTCGACAATAATAGTAAGCATGTGCTGACGACTTGTACTCACCATCTTCATTAGCTGCCCCCTGCCCCGTCTTTTTTTTTTCGCACTTTTTGTTTGCTAAATATGCATTACTACTGGTTATTACAGGTCGTCTTCACATGTTTTTTTATCGTGGCGTGGCGTGCTCATTTGAAAATGTGATAGGATTTTGCTGTGTGGAGGGCCAGTGGCGCTAGTTTTCAGTGAATTAGGCTTACGGAAATTCGAAATTTCAATGTGCAAAAATCGAATCTTTCCACGATTTTTTTGATTTGTTTGAGTGACAAGTTTTAAATGAAATTTACTTTAGTGAAATTTTTTTTGTAGTTTTTAGTTTTAGTTTTTTAGCAATTTTTTTTAGTTTTTAGTAATTTTTTAGTTTTGATTTTATTTTTTAGTATATTCAATGCAAAAATCGAATTTTCCCACGATTTTTTTGTTAAGTTTGAGTGATAAGTTTTGAGTGAAATTTATTTAGTGAAATTTTTTTTGTAGTTTTTAGTTTTAGTTTTTTAATAATTTTTTTTTAGTTTTAGCAATTTTTTAGTTTTAGTTTTTATTTTTTAGTATATTCAATGCAAGAATCGAATTTTTCCACGATTTTTTTGATTTGTTTGAGTGATAAGTTTTGAGTGAAATTTATTTAGTGAAATTTTTTTTGTAGTTTTTAGTTTTAGTTTTTTA